GCATTGGGCTAGTATTCCAAAGGTCGTCGGTTCGAATCCCGCCGTGGCCAGGCATATTTTTCAAGCCTGCCCGGTGTGGATATACACTCAGAGTAACATCACACAAACATCTTATTCACCTGAGTACATTACACCAACACAGCAGATTTCATTAATCTCTATGATTTCCAAATTTATGTCTTGGAATGGCTTTCCTGCCAATGTTCGGTTTTCAATTATTCGAAAACCAAAAACCAAGTATGAAATCAACTCTGGTGCGAATTGTAGCAAACACAACACCAATGAACTACCATCTCAAAATGATTTTTCTGATGATACCAGACCTTAATTTTGGATAAGAATACCTCTCTTGTGTAAGCAAGGAGAATTTTTGGTTAAAAAGCTTCTTAAGAAAGAAAATACAGTGGAATCTCATACAGCCGGCCAAATTTGTCGTAATTTATGAGACTAAGAAGATATCATATTTCTTGCCTAAAAAAGACAAAATTCCTAACTCTTCGCGTAGCAATATTCAATTTATGCAGGGACGCCGGAACGATGTGAAGGCAAGGGGGCAGATTTTCGTGAAAGGGCACTTTTTAATTGATATTTACTAAGAGATGTTTGCAAAACATCCGGAGTTGAACTTCGCCTAACTTTGTTTTCTATTTATTGGATGATAAGGATGTGAGGGGGTTCTCCGCCAGGCGATTGTGCTATAACTGCTATTCTTGAAGCTCGATGATTGCATTTCTTGCGTTTTCTGAAGCAAATTCGTAAAATAATTGCACTATCATTTCTGACAATTCGCTATTTCTCCAAGGCAACCTTTAAATTGAAAGGGAACCTTTGCCCCCCCTTGCCCCTCCTGGTAAAGGGAAATGGGGGCGGCTGCCCCTCCTGCCCCCCAGTTCCGGCGTCCCTGAGTTTATGAATTTACTTGTCCTGGTTGCAACAGTTCCTACATAGGCAAAACAGAAAGAAATTTGGCTACTCGATTATGGGAACACTCAGATCCACAAAAAAGTTCGATTTCAAAACATTTGTTGGAATGTGAACATGCTAATTTCATCCTCAATTTGAAGCACATGTTTGACAACCTTAATGGTATGGTAATGGTTTATTAACACATTTAGTAGTAGTTACGCTAATTTATGACATAATGACATAAATGACAGCGACACATTCAAACTAGACACACCGCTCTCTTTTCACAATCTCATTCAGGCTAACACTCAAACTCTTCACACTCTTAAGCACACGAATTCTAACCTTCTCCTATTCCTTGAAGCTCTGTATATTAAATACAGAAAGCCCGTGCCTAATAATAGAGTAAGAGCGTCTAAAGAACTCGTGGTCTTTTCTCAAGTGTCATTGTATGTCAACAGTGTAATGTTTCTGATATGTCATCTCTTCCTGTTTCTTTGTATATTATGATAGCAAGTTTGTAAATAGCTTATTCTGGTTTGACAATGACTTTGAGGCCTAGTTTATACGTCGAATTTCAGTCGAATTTAATACGTCGAATAAATTCGACGTATAAATTGACTAAATCCGACGGGATGCATTAAATGCGACGCTGTCGAATTTTGCGACATGATCAGTCGTTTAATGCGACCGAAACGTGAAAGTGATTTATACGTCGAATTTCCGTCGCATCGAATAAAATAAAATAATTATTTAAATTAGATTGTTATCCACAACTGTACCCTAAAATCAATAACATCACACTTCGTGGACTCCACGAAGTGTGATTTTCAACATAGCGGACAAACAACATCCATGTTCTAATTGCTAAATATCGTCGTATTATATGTAAAACGTACGTTTTCAATTGTACAACATGTTCTAAGGCTATAACAGACGAAGAAATTGAGGCCGGATGCATGAATTCCAAATCTAAGCGTTGCATACTGCCAACCTCGTTCCCAGGTCTTGGCTTACTGCAACAATTACTGCCCCGAAATATCTGTCATATCAATGATATTCTCTTTCACACTGTATGTTCTTGCGTCAATGGACAATAACTAGACACATAATCCTGCCATAAATGTGTGGTTACACATCTTATGAATAGTGGGTACTGGCAAAGGGGGAAAAAACTGACTGAAAAAAACTGGCAAATAAAAGAAACAAAAATAAGAAACTGGCAGCTCTGATTTAATTCTTTCTCTAACTGGTCACCAATCTTGTGAAGAATGGTTGTGAAGATTTGTCGTGACACGCGAAAAATATTCTTAAAACGCTTTTCAGAATAGTTTGACCACAGATAGTCCAACTGCAACCAATAACTACACTGTACTGATCTTTCAAGGCGACGACATGAACGAATTCAGGGTATTTACGCTTCATACAAATTGCAAAGTGGTGCCAAGCACAGTTGAAGAATCTTCCTTTTTCTAATAATTACTAAGTGCAAAAATTTTGACGCCTTTCTCAGCTAATTTTCAGGATTTGTTTCAAGATAATTGCTTTTGTGGACGCCGCAGCTTTATTTTAAGGGCCTTTATATATCCATCTTACAGCCTGAAACACCCGCATGTTTTGATTTTGCGACCAAAATTCGACGTCTAAACTGCACGCAAACACTTCCATCGAATTTCCGTCGCATAATTGTCACATTAAATTCGATGAATTAAATTCGACTGAAATTCGACGTATAAACTAGGCCTGAAATAGAGTCGAAATATCACCGCAAAATTGTTGTCTTGTGTTATAACTCATATCTTGAGTTTACAATATGTTATTCTTCGGAGTATGTGCTGGTAATGGTTTATTTCTATAGCTTTGGCCCACAAAAAAACAAAATTTGAATCAAGTACATGCACTATAAAATGCATCCGACAAAGAAAACATAAACTTAAAGACGCCCTGTTTTTTATGGCAAGGCAACTCGTTTACTTGTCCATCATGCTACTCACTTGCCCTGGGCAAGCGGGCAAGTGGTACGTTACACCTCCGCCCTACAAAAAACTTCAAGTAAGTAACATAAGGGGAAATTACTCCTTTGGTGTTAATAGGTGAAAATGGGCAAGCATGCCACAGTCGAATAATGGCAGAACGATAATTGGGGGGGGGGGGCATATATTAACTTCTTTTGAAATCAATTGTTATGGGCCCCCCAATTATCGTTCTGGCTACGCTACTGCAATCGATAAGTGAAATTGGACACCTGCCATAAGATATCAAAGTTAAATAATAATATAACAAAGTACTTAAAGTAGGAAGTGTTAGGGAAAATTGTATCTACTTGATCTAAATATGTCAACATGAAACATGGGCAAAGTCTAACTATACACACTTCCCTTGACGAATAAAATTTTCCGGCATTAGACAAGATAACATTTAACAAAGTGCCGAAAATTGGGCTCATTGGAGTGAAATGGGCAATTCCAAAAACAAGCAAACACTTGCTTGGGTGTCTCTTAAATATATAAAATGTGACCCAAACGTTGTTACATATACTATTAAACAGATCATGCAGCTGGTGTAACTAAATGTATTCATAAGTTTGAACACGTATAAACTTATGCCCCGTTTACATGAGACCGGGACGAAGTCAAACCGGCGGAATGAAAATTTAAATTGTCAACCTAGGCCTACTCTGGGGCAGTAACTCGCATGAATTTGCCGCGAGATAATGCAAGTTTGGGCTATTTTAGGCGATTTAAGCAAAAACTGCAACTTTTAAGGAATGCGAGTTTAGGCGTTTTAGGGCCGCGATTTAATTAAGGCGATTTGTATAGGTAATCGCATGGGAACGATTAAAATTCGGGTTTAATATCAGTTTAATTTGAGCAGGAGCATCAAGGCCGAGATTATAGCTGTCATTAAATAAAACTATAGAAATCTCTCTCAGAACTTTTATTCGACTACATCGAGGCGTTTAAATTTGCATATTCCTCTTGACTGGATTCTACATTAGCTGCCATAGACATACCCCTTCCGTTCTCCTCATTACCGGCATCATAACTTGACGCATTATCAGATTGATGGTTATACATGCGTGCAATGTCCTGGAAAGAACACACTTGAGAGGATAATTGGTTACTGCATCATGATTAGTAATTCCTTTAAAAATCTTTTGCTGGCAATTGATCGCGGAAGTGGTTAATCTCGTTATTTATTTTACCAATCTCGTTTTGATTTGCTGAAATGCTGTTCAAGAATCTAGATTCGACTATTACAACATCTAATTTAACGGCCTCAAATGTCAGCGGAAGGATCACAACACCCAGACATAATACCAACTGATTTAATTACATCTAGGTTTAAACCATAGATATAGGAGATCTAGATTGCTAACGCATACCTAGCGCAGGCGGGGCCTACATGATAAATCCAAGATGGCGGTACAAGAGTGCAAAAAGACTATAGATTCTATTACGAAAATCAATATTTTTGCATTTTTTGCCGTCGCATTGTTTTGAAACTTATTCGGTCAAATTTTATGGTAAAGAGAAACGTACCGCGAAGATTTTGAGCATATACTGTATATGATTGAATTGGATGAAAACTCGCAAAATTATCCAGCGATAAAAGTTCG